AGCCTCCTCGCAGCTTGTCCTGCTCCAAGCGGGATCCCTCTCCAGCCATCTCCTGCAGCCCAACCTGCCCTTCTCCTTTGCAGAAATAGTCTCTCCTTTATCTTCCAATGGAAGTTGTTTAGGGAATTACTCCTCTTCCCTTCTATCGTGTGTCTGTCTCTGTCTCTGTCTCTCTCTCTCTCTCTCTCTCTCTCTCTCTCTCGTCAGGCTCCCTTTCTCAGACCTGCAAAATGTCCAGATAGGCTTTAATCTTGGAACAAGCATGGAGTGGAACCATACTGGACAGAAATCACAGAATTGTTTCAACGAGTCGAGACTGTTGTTTTTATTAATATTGCTTTTAAAGAGAGACATCATTTTCAAAAAGCAGTTTTAAATCTCTTTAAAATTATAGTTAGATTTGTTTAAACATTCGAATAATTTGCTATAGTCAATATATTTGTTTTTAATAGGTACCACTTATTATACCATAGGACTGTATCCTTATATACAATGGAATTGTTATGAAACATTTGACACCACCCCCCCTTTTGACCCACATATCCATTACTTTTATGCCCATTTTCTTCATTTTTTTAAAGAGAGGCAACACAGTGAGGTGGAAATAGTTGTTAACCATTGCTCCACTACGAGGTGAAAGGTTAGTGGTTCAAACCCATGCAGAGGTTTCTCTGCCTACTGGCCTGGAGATGTGCTGCTGACGGGCACAGCCTGGCGAGCTCCCTCTGCACAGTGGAGTGGCTTCACTCCACGGCACTAACAATAGCACATCAGTTTATGGCTCATGACCTTTCACCTGCTTCCTCTCCGCTCTAAAATCCTCATCTGTGGAGAGTTATACCGGAGCTTTTACACCTAATTTCTCATTATAATGTCATGTCGTCCCTTTTGAGAAATGGAATCTACTTTATCACCTTCTTTCAGAGAGGATTTGTAGAAATACATGGTAATAAAAATCAAAAATTTCCCCCTCTTTCATCTTCGTGGGATTGTAGATTCAGAAGTCAGATCACCAGTTCCCTATTTATAAAGCATTCTCTTAACTTTAACACGTTCCTTAGCTTTTTTTTTTTAACTTACTAGTTTGCTAAGTAGATGACAGTATTAACCTTTTTTTTAAGGGTTTAAATTAGAATTCATTTAAAAATTTTGAAAAACCCTGACATGAACAATTTTCCACACAAGCCTATTTCAGATCAGACAAAAATACATCAAAGATCCAACATTTGGATGCGTGCTACAGCTTAAGTCACGTAGCAGCGAAGGTGGGAGAGGATGATAAGAAACTTGGGAAGAACAGACATTTATATATCACCAAATGAACCCCTCAGGAAGGAAGTACAAAAGGTAACCTTAAAGCAAGAACATTTTAATTTCAAATGAATAGAGCAAGGAAAAGTTTCTGTTGACAAAATTTGCCAGCTAATTCCAACAAGTGGATGCTCTGAGATCAGCACAGCTTGCCATCCACGTGAGCCTGAAAATCTGCGCGCACATGTACTCGGCCTTCAGGTCTCTGCGCATGCCCCAAACCCCTTCAACTTTCCCAGAGAGCATGGCCCTCTTGGAACTAGCTGCCTTGGAAGGCCAGGCGCAACGTCAGTCGATACTATCCTCATATCTATACTATCTCTGATCGTTTTAGCCTCCATGATATCCTCAACGGCATCTAATAGAGATGAGTGCATAGTCAAGGCATAATTAATATGTACTGTTTAATTAAACAAGACACAAGAAAATTGGGTTTGGATTGTCAAAATGGGGATAAATTCAAGCTCTTGCTCAATCCCACCCACATTTCCAGCTATAAATGTGTGTGTATAAATAAATAAATATATATGTATACACACAGACACACACACATATAAGCATACATACATATATTATCGCTTCAACGAACTCATGGACATTTTTCATGATCTTTTTGGGGGGCATTTTTATTTCTGATCATCTTTTTTTAATAAATCATTATTGGGGGCTCTCTTACAGCTCTTATAACAATCCATACAACAATTGTATCAAGCAAGTTTGTACATATGTTGCCATCATCATCTCCAAAACATATTCTTTTAATTCATTTTATTGGGGGCTCCTACAATTCTTATCACCATCCATCCATCCATCCATTGTGTCAAGCACATTTGTACATTTGTTGCCATCATCATTCTCAAAACATTTGCTTTCTACTTGAGTCCTTGGTATCAGCTCCTAATTTCTCACCCTCCCTCCACACTCCCCCCTCCCTCAACAGTTTCTTTGTACTTGAACCCTTGGTATCAGCTCCTCTTTTTTCCTTCCCTCCCCCATATGATCTTTTAATTCTATTTTTCCCACAAACTTTGTGAAGGATATATATATATTTCTGAATGATATTATATAGAACAATGTCTATATCTTCTAGCTAATCTATATAATTTTCAGTATGCATCTCAAGGATATATTCATACATTATCAATTTGCCAAAATAGCATGACCATACTTAGCAAAATTAGTCATTCCAGAGTGAATTTTTCCCAACCTTCTCAAAACTGGGCTTCAACCTAGGACCATTTTTCATGTCTCTTAAATCTTGTTGCCATAGACATGTTTATGTAACTAGATCCGTTTTTCTCAAAAATTCCAACTTTGGGATTGTCTGGCTTCTTGTAGTGTCCTTTTGCCTGTTCCTGCCTCTCCTGTAAACTGCACATTGGAGCTGTACTATTAATCGTAACTCCAGTTTAATATTTTTGGCAGAAATGTATCATGCA